TGGAAACGGAGAAGAAAAGTGCTATTACAGCTTCAGAGATCTGATTTGAGTCCACCATCACTAGAGCTTTAGAAAGTAAAAGTGACCTCAGAACAGAAGTGAGATGTTGATGGTTGAGCTGAGTGCTTTTTGCCATGAAATCTTATGCATACTTCCCATAGAATAATACAAAACACTAAACATACTCTCGTGCTGGTCTGGTTTCCATTTAATTTTTTTTTCCTCTTACAGGTTATTCTTCTTCCAGTACTTCAGCTCCAAGACAGATTTGTCTTTTGCTTTTAGTTGTATTGCAGTGGTATTTCATTACAAGTAGATTATTCACCCCTTTTACTGCAGTGGTTCTTTATATATTTAATTTTAGGGGTGTTTTGCTTTATATCAGTGGAATGGCGAGTAAGGGAATCATAGAATCATTTAAGTTGGAAAAGACCTTTAAGATCATTGAGTCCAACTGTTAACCCAGCACTTCCAAGTCCACCACTAAACCATGCCCCTGAATGCCACATCTGCACCTCTAGGGATGGGGACTCCACCACCTCCCTGGACAGCCTGTTCCGATGCTTGACAGCAAGCCTTTCAATCAAGAAATGTTTCCTGATATTCAATCTAAATCTCCCCTGGTGCAACTTGAGGGCACTTCCTCTTGTCCTGTTGCTTCATACCTGGGAGAAGAGACCAACCCCCACCTGGCTACAACCTCCTTTCAGGCAGTTGTAGAGAGTGATAAGGTCCCTCCTGAGCCTCCTTTCCTTCCGGTGAAACAACCCCTGCTCCCTCAGCTGCTCCTCATAGGACTTGTGCTCCAGACCCTTCACCAGCTTTGCTGCCCTTCTCTGGACACACTCCAGCTCCTCAATGTCTTTCTTGTAGTGAAGGGCCCAAAACTGAACACAGGATTCGAGGTGTGGTCTCACCAGTGCCAAGTACAGGGGGATGATCACTGCTCTGGTCCTGCTGCCACACTATTGCTGATACAGGCCTTCTTGGCCACCTGGGCACTACTGGCTCATGTTCAGCAGCTGTTGACCAGCACCCCCAGCTCCTTTTCCTCTGGGCAGCTTTCCAGACTGTCTTCCCCCACCTGTAGCACTGCCTGGGGTTGTTGTGACCCAAGTGCAGGACCCAACACTTGGCCTTGTTGAACCTTATACAGGTGACCTCAGCCCATTGATCCAGCTGTCCAGATCCAGAAAATAACACAGCACAGTACATTTTCATTACCGTTTCTATGGGCTGTAGCATTCTGACAGCAAGTAAGAAAGAAGCTGCACTGGGCTTTATGGAAGGGACTGCAGTAATTAATCTTCATTGGAATTGCTGCCATGGCTGTGTGAATTAAAATTTATTACATGGAAAAAGTTTTGGGCACAGCATGTTTGATTAGCAAAATGCCAATATTTATGAGATAAATTATTCCTAACTTTTACTGAACTGTATTTTATTACGAGATTCATTCATTATTCCTGCACATTTCTTTGGGAAAGAGCTTGTGTGCTTTATTGCAGCCTGGAAACTTGACTCATGGCCTGTAATTCAGTGGCAAGGGCGGTTTGTTTCCAGAGCAGTGCTGGTAAAACTAGGCTCCAAAGCATTCTCCGATAAATGTTAAGTGAGGCAGAGCCTGTCTAGGCATCTCACAGTACCATTGTTTAAACAACAGCAACTTGGCTCTGTGGCTGCACATTTCAAATGGCTGGTTCTTAAGCACTTAAAATCTAAACTTTGCAGCTTGCCAAGATATAGCTTGAAGCCCAAAAGTGAGTTAAATACTAACAATTAAAAGCTTTCTGTCTTTTCCTGGTATTACCTCAAAACACACTTGTGAAATTATTTTTTGGTAGTTAAATTAAGACTTTCTTGGTGTATAGCTATCAGGGTCGTAGTTAGATTCCCTGTTTCCCAGATAACCATTCATATATGCTGGCACTGGTTTAAGGGACAGGATTCATAAACCATGCTTTAGTGTTTGAGTAATAAACATTACCTATTGAATGATAGCATCTTACTTTGTTGTTACAGCTGTGCACACAGAAAATTACTGTGCCTGTTGATAAGTCGATTGTCGGTACCTCCTCACCTGTGTAAACAGAAAGTAAATCTTTCCATCAGGCAGCCTCAGATGGATCGTTCACGTGGCTGAAAAGCTAAATTGCACCAGATGGTGAAAGGAAGGAATTGTAAACCAGCTGCACATACCACTTTTAAAGTGTTATAAGTAGAAGACAAAAAGATCCACTGGCTTTGGTTTGAATCTGAATTGTGGGGTTGATTTCTAACTTTGTTCTGCTAGAAAATAGTTCATCTTAAAATAACTTTATTTTATTTTGACTATTTGTGGATAACGGCTGGTAGTGCATCAGTTTGTGTGTTTGTGAGGAACAAGGGGCCATTTATGTCCATAGAAGTGACCAACAATGAAAAGATTGGCTCTGCAGAGTGGGCTGAGAGGCCTTCAGTTAATGGAGGCTGAGCAAGAATCCATTTGACAGTAAGTGCAGAAGTCATCCCTGTATAGCTGCCTTTGTACACTCAGTCCTTTCACATGCGGACCTGAGAGTTACGCCTATTACATCTCTTTCAAAGAGTTTCTGTCAAAACAGCTAAGGAGAAGCACACCAATGGAGTGCAGGATGTCCCTGGGCATCACAATAACACGTTTTCCATCTTCCTTTTAAAATTGCCACTTTCACCTTTTGTAAAACCTAGATCTCTGACTGCTCCTCCAGAGTAGTACACCCCCTCTCCATGCCACTCAGACCACTGCTGGTAAAAATCCATCCTGCAGGAACAAGATATGCAGTTGGACTTGCTGATCTTCAGAGGTCCCTTTCAATGGAAATCATTCTATGGACAGACAGTCTGTCTTCCCTCTGCGTCTCAAAATTAGGAACATCTTATTCACATGTTTCATGTGATTCTCATTACCTTCCTAAGTTGCCTTTATTAAATACTGTTTTGCTTCTAATTTATGAGCATCATGAAAACACAAGTCTTTAGCCCTCTTCATCGCTTGGTGGCTCTACTGCTGCTGCTTCCTGTGTTAAATATTCCTCTTTATTCACCTCTCCAGCTCACAGCCCAATAGGGGTCAAATTAGTGTGAAAATACTCCTGCTAACATGTAGATACATCTTTAGTTTGTACTACAAATCGAGCACTGCAATCCCTCAGTAATAGTAAGAAGCGGCTTGACTCAGCATAATTATCCCACAAAGTTTATGATGAAAATTGGTCATAATTGTGTTGATGTGCTTTTGTCTGTGGAAAAAATGAGAAAACTCACAGTTAAGTTCTTTCTAAATGTGTTTTATATTTAAACGTTATACCTTACAGATGTCTAGGCCTATGGGCCTCTGAAACTCCAAAAGTGATTATAATTTTTGGTTATTAAAGTCTGCTGTTTCATAGCTTGTGAGGTTTCTGCATTGTTTTAATTGCTCAGATGTTTTGAACTAATGTCCTAGATGAAGCATTGGTCAATTATGAATGCAAACTGGACTTCTGAGTCCCTTCAAAGGCTGAAAGTAATTGGCTCTTTTGCAAACAAGATAAAATGCTCTTATTTAATGAGGCCTTCCTTATGCTTTTAAAGTGAACCCCTATATTCTGTCCTGATCAAAGTGAACACCATGAAACTCTAGCCCAGATCCATACTGTCCACTTGGAAAAGTGAGAATTCTTAATGCTTTAGTGTATTTTCATATACTGTGAGTATAGTTTCAGCGTTTATGGAGTATCTTAAGCACTACAGAGAGAATATGAGAGTCCTTTCCCCAGAAAAGGAATAAAATGTTGGTAGCAAGCCCTGAAAAGCTACCCCCATGAAAATGACAGCTCAAAGTCAGCAAAGCATTGCATTGACACTTAAGCAATTGTAAAAGTTATGGACATTAAGAAAATCCTTGTTGAAACTTTTTTTTTCAAGTAAACTAAATTTTCTGGCTAGAAATTTGCCAAATTTTAGTTGAAAATCTGAATTTACCCAACTATTTTAGAAAAGCCTAAACTCAGTCTTTGAAGTTGCATTTATTATATTTGGTATATTAGAAAAAATACAAATGTGAAAAAATGAGATCGCCACTTTGTTTTGGTTACCTTGTTTGGAGGGAATGGTTTGGGGTATGAGGAGTTGGTTGCATTTTTTCTTTTTTTGGGTATGAATACCCTGCAGCATAGGACAACCAGCTCTCTATAACCTGGTATACAGATATTATACCTTAGAATAGATTTCGTTAGATTTGATTACTTTACTCTTAGATGATTTATAGCAGTTTTCCTATGTTTTGGACAAAAACCCCATGGAGATACATGAAAGCTCAGTCTTTCCTCCTGTTGTTGTTACATGGCCATGTGGTAGAATCCAGGGTATTAAAACTGTTTTGTCCAGATCAAAGGCTGCAAAAGGCAATTCATTCAAGTCTTAAGAAAAGCAGCAGAAGAAATAGGAATTCATCAGGGAAAATTACTGTGTTTGGGCTTTTCCTCTTCCTCTCATGAGAGAGTAGTGGTTAATAGCTTCCAAGGAAAACTTCTGAAAGGAGGGGAAAGAGTGGTTGAGTGAGATGGTTCCAAATCAAAACTGTATTAAATGTAGGATCTGCCAATGAAGTGATAGTTCTCATATTTTTATTTTTGTCGCGTATTTATTTTAGACAAGATCTTGAATGCACGTCAAGGTCCACTGACACATCGCTAAATCAGTTTTGTCAAGTTGTCTGTTCCTGTATTAGGCAGCAAATATTAGATAACATTGATAGTGATATCTTGATACACTGTAATCAATTAAGACAGCAAAACATCCACCGCCACCTCGTCCTGAGAGCAGTTCCAGTTTAGACATTCAGAGTTCATCAGCTTCCATTGCTTCACCCTTCAGAATTATAATTTCGTTTGCTCTTATCTTGACATAAATTTGCCTTATTTAAAAGGAATTGTTAGATTACATGATGATATCGATTACCACAGTTGTTAAAAAGACTAATTGATTTGTTTCTGCAGTGAACTTGAGAAGGGTGGAAGAAAGAAGAGAAGCTATAGCAACAGTACCACAGCAGAAGAAATGCCACTGAAAAGAAAGAAGGTAAAATTCAGCCAAGAGGAGGACCCCTATTTGCCATTAGATACTGGACTTTCTCTGGCAGAGGATGAAGAGCTTGTTCTGCATCTGCTCAACAATCACAGCTAATTATTTTTCTGCACACTTTCTTCCCTGGGACATCTCTACAATTTTGTCAGTAGTTTACACAAAATGAATTTGGCATCTGGGCAGCTGGGTACCAGTGGATGTAGATAAATGAGTTCCACGTGCAATGGGATTGCCTTAAATTGACTCACAGATTATTGACAATATTTAGTTTGATTTGTAAGGCTTTCTAAATGAACTTTTCAACCTAAATCCCCAGATGTCATTTTGCAGTAACAAATTAATAATTTAAAATCTCCAAGTTTTGAAGCAATTATCTTCTTTTCTTTTAATCTTGCTTTAAATGAAAACAGGATGTTCCTTTCTTAACTGTGTCAGGTTTGTTGTTATTTTGGAAGATATATGTGTACTAATATTATTAAAGAATAATTCTGTTGGCAGCTCAAGTCATATTACTTAAAAATACTTCTTTCAGTGTATCATGGACATATTTAAAAAATATTTTAATAAAAATTTCTGGAGCCTTGATGTAAACTTACAGTGTCTCTTTCAGCTTTGTTATGAAGCGTATATTTATCCTTCAGTTATCATTTCTGTTGTGATTCTGTCACTGGTGTTAGGCAATTCAGAAAAACACTTTTAGAAGCTAAAACTGAGTCTTGCATTTGAATCCTGTATGAATGAGAACACAGTGATGCCACAAAATGGTAGAGCATAACACTGCCTGATGAAATGGTTGCAAAGTAGATTTTATGGCACACTTATGACTGGAAGTGAGCTACCTTTTGTTTGTTATGACCAAATATAGTGAAGAAAAATGATTTATAGTTCAGCATATTTTTAAGTTTCTCCAGTCAAACTCTGGTTGGTTGCTGCAGACTTTGTACATGCTTGCCCATAACTGCTGCATCTCGAGGGACAGCAACAAGACATATGCAGTGGGAGTCCCTGCACGGGGAAGGGAAGAAGCAGGCATTCTCTCTGAAGAAAAATTATTAATATGTTACCAAATTTTTAGTTATATAAGTAGATTTTTTTCTACTACTTGCACTCAAATGAGCCAAATTCTTGTGTTCTTGCTTGCATTCTTGACTACCCTCTCAAGAAGGTTGGCACATTGCTCAGGAAAAAAAAGGATGGAAAAACCTTGCAGGCAATATGTAGAACAATTGAAAACTGCGGAGAGTTTTACACATCTCTGAAACAACCTTAGCAAAGGAAAGGCTCTTGTGTCAGAAAACAAAGGAGAGCAGGAAAATCCAGTGTTTGCTGTCATAAGTTTTTGGCAGCAAAGAGGCATGTAAAGTGATGATTGTCTCTTTTCAGCAGACCTGTGTCTTAATGAAGCTTACACGGGGAGAATGGAGAGTAAAACACTGAGTAGGTACAAATGCATTAGGGCTTTGCTCTTTTGCTTCCCTTCAGCAAATCATAAAGTACGCATTGTCTCAAAGTTGTATCTGTTTGGGGTCCCATATGAACATTTTAAGTGCTCCTTTTTTGTTAGTATCATTTTTTTTCCTTCCCCCGCACCTCAAAGAAGTCTGTCAGAACCAGCTTGGTAGAATTCTTTCCTCCTCTCCCTCTACCCTATGCTATCTTTTAGCTCAAATCTAAAACTGAAAATACACTGCAAATTCTTGTCTCCAAATGTTGCTTCCACCATTCTGCCAGCAGGCAGAGTATCATAAAAACAATATTATAGGCAGAGCACATCTGCCATCTGCTCCTTCTTGACAATGTGGAACAAGAAGAAATGACTGAGTTTCACAAACAGCTAAACATGAAAGATTGGACCTGCTTAGCAGCTGATGCAGTGTTTGTTTAGTCTACAGTGCCACAGCGGGCCTGGAAAATATTGTGATCTGGGAATAGCATCACTATGAATCTGTTAATGAAGAAGGATCCGCTGTGGTGCCATTGTGACTGGTGCACGTGTCCCGTGCTCCAGGATGTGAACACTGCAGTGAATGTGATGAGCAATGTCAACAAATGCCTCTGTGCTGGGATAGCAGAGGTCCTGCTCCTGCAGTCATGGAGAAAGGCAGCAAACTGCAGTGCAAGGAGCACCACCAGCAGAAAGCTGTTCAAAGATGATTTAGATATGGATGATGGTCGTGTGTACATATTAGAGGTATTAGTAGATTCATGGTGTACTTGGTGGTGGTCGGTTGTCTTGTACATCACCTCATGTCTGTCAACTCAAAACTTTGCTCTGAGAAGAGTGAACAGAGTTTGTTGGGGAAAGCAAGTGAAAACCCAAAGATTTCCTATTTCTTACTAGATTTGTATGCTGGGATGTGAGAAAAATATTCTTACCCACTGAACAATAAGACTAAAAATTAAATTATGTATATTGGAATGATTGTGCTGCACTTCTAATCTTCTGTCATTTTCATTGTCTGCATAAAAATAATTTTTCAGGTGCTTTTGCTTTTGTATTTTGAAATAATGAAGTTTCTAATGTATTTGTGTTGTCTGATATAGAGTAATTGTTTCTCAAATCCTTATGAAATTTGCCCACAGTTCAAATGTGACTGCCCTTGAGGGTATGGTGTGTATCTAGAGCATGACTCCCACAAGAATGGAGCCATGTGAAGAAGAAGAGGGATGAAACTTAAGGCAGATTCTCCATGCCATGAATGTATCTAAGAACAAGCAACTGTTGCATGTGCTGTGATCCTGGGTTATCATTCCCATCAGATGTAGATCTGCTTTAAGAGGCTCCTCACCAGCCCTGCTTCTAGCAGTGCTTTTCTGGTGTAAGAAAAAATACACCAACGCACCAAACAAATATCAGTCTCAGAGCTGACTTGACTGAAGGGTGTTTTCCAGGGAACTTGTCTCTATTCACACCCAGGGACCTCTCAACCTGCCATGTGTGTCCAGGGCTAACAGGCAGGTGGAGCAGGACCAGCTTGGGATACCATCCATCACCTGTCTCCTTTTCTCTGTGTCACAGGTACAGCATGTGCCACTGTAGCATCAGAACAAATCCCAAACTTTCACAAGTTTGTACTTTATAAGCATTATAGTCCTAGCTTTACACAGGAGAAATGGGAGCATGGAAATGATTGGGCTTGCCTGTAATCAAAGACTTCATTGATGACTTTAAGTAGTTGAATCCACAACTTCTAAGTCACTTGTGGTTTAGCAAGAGCAGCCTCCCACTTGGCATCTGAACCTCCTTCTGTGCAGGTGTTGTGTTGCTGGGATGAGTTTCAGGCTTCTTCACCCCTGTAGGTTGCAGCCTACAGAAACTCCCCTTTGGAGACTCCTTCAGGAGAGGAAGAAAGATCCGAGTATGGTAGTGAGTATTTTCCGAGGCTGTTGACCAGGAGACATCCTTAAATTGCCAAGCAGGAAATGTTGTTTTACATAATGAATTTTCAGATTAATTTGCATTTATACTGTTTACTAATAGTGGTTGATTTCCTTCTGCTACTAGAATAGTTCTAGTGTGTTTATTTATATCTAGGTGTAGTGGTAAGAGTAAATCTAGTACATTTAGCTAATTTTCAATTTATACACTAGACATTTATATAATGGTAAAGTTTAGCAGGCTTTTATCCAGAATCAGTTTTTCTCTTTGTTGTGTACAAAATAATGGAGACATTTGTTTACCGGATAATTTATTACAATTTGTTTGAAGCCTCTTTGGATGAAAACTGGAAGTCAGGTAAAAGTCATGAGAGCATTGAAGAGTTTGGGGGTTTTTTAGATGAGTTAAATAGACTTACACTAAGTGTGCTAGTTACTGAAGATGTCCAACTTGCAATATTTTCGGGAGGCATATAAAACGTGTCATTGCAGAGATACTGTTCTGCCTCAGCATCATGGAAATTTCTGTTCAGTGTTCTCTTTGTGAAGACCTTACTGATGCAGCACATTAAATTGTGTAAAGAGTATAAGAAATTTAGGCTCTAACATAAGGGGTTGCAAATTAACATTCAACATTTTAATGGGTATTTTTCTTTAAATGTTATATGGCTATAAATAAAAAATAATTTTTATTTCTCCTGCAACTGACTGAGTCCAGCTAGAGCATTGACTAGTGTGTCTGCTGTCTGGCCATACTTATAAAGAGAGAGATATGCCTGAAGCAAAACATTAAAAAACAGAGAACTGTGGTAGAGAACATTCAATTCAGGCTATAAAAAATAGTACGAGATCTGAAGATACTGAAGTGACCCTATGGGTTCCTATAATCCTGGATACATATGACAAAACCGATATAAAATACAAGAAGGAAACGTCTCTTAGTAAAGGTTGCTAATGGGTATTTTTCTTTATTGCGCTGCTCTCTAGTTTGACCTGATTGATGCTTATATCCTGTGAGAGATTGAATATGCCTTACAGCAGGGATGCTGAGCTATGGTAGGCTGCAGCTACTGCAGAAATGGCCACTGTGGCTCAGGATGTTGCTGCTTTTATGCAGGAGGTAACTGCCCCCCAGCCGTAACCTTCCTGTGGCTAATAACCTGAGGTTTAAATTAAGCTGGTTGGTTCTGTCCTGGAACAGATGATTCCTTATGCCATCTGTTTTGGTAATTGGGCAGTGTTAGAATCCAGTTATTAAAATTATTAGAAATGCCTCTGCCTGAATTAAGGTGCAAACGAGACCAGATGCCAAAGTCAATAGTATGGGGTTTATTTAATGGTGAATGCAAGACAGAGAAAGAGAGAGAGAAGGAAATAGGAGGTGGGGGGAAGAGAGTGACAGAGATTAAAATAGAAGATGTATCATCACTGTGGAACCTGCAGCGTCCTGTTGGTCCTCTTCTTCTGGTCTTCTTGGTGGTGAGGATCCTGTAAAACATAGAGTCCAATGGATCAATATATGTTCAGGAGATGCCCAGTCACCGCTGCGGGGGGTGGGGGGGAAGGGAGGGAAGCTTTGCAGTCTCTTGTGGCAGGCTCTGGATTTGTTGCATCACTTGGATCCTATGCAGTCCTCTGGTGATGGAAGGCCTCAGGAATGAATTGGAGGGGTGCTTTGGGGGTCTTTGATGGTGTATGAGCCCTTCTCAGCTGCGTCTCACGTGAATGTCCCATGGGTATGTGATCTTCCCAGAGTGGAGGGAAGGGGGGGGTGGGAGGGAAGGGGTTTTACTCCTTTGGTTTCGTTTTGAGAGATTCCGCCATCATACACCCAAACTCCTTCTCCCCTGCCACCCACTGAGCACAGCTAGGGCAGATTCTTAGCACAGATACATTCTTCTTCCCTGAGCCTTGTTTACTTCTCCTCAGACCTGAGATGATTAGACAATAGTCTTATCTCAAGTCCCCACTCACAGTCCAAAGTCCAATCAGGAAGAAGAGGTGTGCTTCAGTAGTCCCGGGCAGGTAGTTGCTTCCTTGCAGTTTGATAAAAAGTCCTTCTAAACAATGTTTAAGACATTAACAACAATTCAGTCCATCACAGGTAGAAGGCTGGTGGCAGGCAGCTAAAGGACAGTAATACTTTCTTGTGCAGCAGCCACTTTTGTTGTTAATTTGATGGGGACCTTGAGCAGAACAGAGCCAAACCTTGC